CCCTTTTTTAAAGATAATCTTTTCTTTTATTTTTGTTAAGAGCGGATTCGTTTGTTTCGTACCGTTTTGTTAGGGTGTGTGCTGCCTTTCCGTTGTGGTTGCCCACCCTTTTTTTTCCTTTTTTTTTACTCCAAGAACTTGTAAAAAGAATATGCATCTTTGCATTCTTCTGGTGCAATAAATGTCAGTAAGAATGCTTTATGGGGTTTTTCTACCATAAAAAATATTTGGTAAATTTTTTAGAAAATAAACAATGACTGAACGATTGGAAAGAGTTTAAGTTTTTTTTTTCCTTCTCCTTGTAAAGGGGAGGGGAAACTTCAGTACAGTGATGAGTTTGCTATTGTTTGGGTTTCCCGTTTCTCCTTGTTGTTCGTACGCTTGTCTGGGAATATAAGGGCAATATTTGCCGGGGAGGTACCCGAGAAGAGGTATTTAGGACCAATTACATCGCAAGTCCTACCGCGTGGGTTCTTGCGAAGGTCCGATTTTCAAACGATTGTATTACTTTTATTTTCAGTTATTGATGTTGTTCACTAAATCTTTCTGCGTTTTTTACTTTGAAAGAGGTTTCTAAAAATTATAGGTTTATGAAAATAATGTATTGGTGATGATTTCTCACCTTCTCAGGTTCTTCTCTCCATTATTGATGATTATGAAGCAGAGAGTTGGAGATGTCTTTGTTTTAAACTCTCTGGAGGATTCCATATAATTAAAATTTCCTCCAGAATGAATGCTATTCAAAATCTCACGATTTGTTTCGGTACTTGTGGTTATGGTGCCGCAGATAAAAGATTAAATCAACTTCTTCTCATATTGCTGCGTGTTCACTTTTACGTGATGGACGGCATCCCGGATCTCTGGTAACCCGTTGGATCTGTGGATACCAAACACGCAATGCCCTAGAGGTTCAATCGAAATGATGACCAACACTCTTCATTGTTAAACCTCAGCAGTTTCTGCATTGCTTTTTCTCTGGTCCCTACCACGTTAAAAGGTACCGCCATTCTATGGAGTTATATGCAACGTGAAATTTAGCACATAAACTAGAGCTGTGTTTGTGTGTTTGTTCTTGCGGACCTTAAATTGCAATGGGATCCCAGTATCTCGATAAGGGAAAATTTGCTTCTGTGTGTGTGCTTTTTTTTTTTAATTAGTGAGATGAGAAAATACTATTTTCTTGCTACATCTTCTGAAGATGAGCAACCTCTGCAGCTAAAGTTTTTGAATATAAATATATATTGATTTTACTATTTGTGTGAAGAAACGTCTTGGAAAAGAAACAATTAAAGGAGA